AATTTTTCATGTTTCAGCTCAATATTGAAGCACAAAACACTACATCTTAAAACAAAAATTGAAAGATCATGAAGACATGAATGAAATTTTTAAACCGATTGGAAATATTTAAAGGAAGAAAAAGAATGTTTCTAATTATTATAATAAGTAGGATGTGTTCCGAAATTTTTCAAGTTCAACTTCGCGAAGATTTTATCTTACAAAAAATTCCACGAAAAGGAGACCGATGTCTGCCGGAGCTTCCAAGTACACTCCAGAAATTTGACAGTTTAATCTTCAATTAAAGTGCGACGAGATAAAAATCTGCTCGGGTTTAAGCGAACAAACAGATCTTGTCACGTTTTGTAGAAGTTTATTTTTGCTTATTATTGCAGAAGATATTTTTCAAGGATCCATTCTTTTGCTTTGTTCCAAGAAAATAATCGACGAAGCTTTCCCTTATCTGATCGTTCTTATCCGCCTTCCTTGTCTCTTGGAGTAGCGACGAAGAGATCGGAGGCTCTAATCAGGTGCGCAATTGCCACGTGATTTCTGAATGAATCACGGGCTCGCCCGGCGCATTGCCGGTCCTTAAAACGGCGCCGTCGTTTATCGCTTATTGATTTATCGGGGTTCCCGTATCGGTTGTATGCGCGCTGGATGAAATATCTATTATTACTTAACGCTTATCAGACGCGCGAGATTACGTGAGTAACTCAACCTCCGCGCTGATCACCCCACTATCGCATTCGATATGCTTGCTATCTGCCCTTTATCTATATTCTATAATATCGTTCGCGATTTTTCCGTTTTTCCGTTTCGCAATCTCTCGCGATCTCTCGCGTGTCGCTGAAAGATGAAGATCGATAATTTATAAGTTTTATTTAGATTTCATATTTTTATATAAGGGATAACGGAAACATCAAGTGCGCATATACTGATATATTATTTTTAATAAGACATGTACTCGATCTTTTGACATACCTATAGTGAAGATAGACATCCTACCATGATATTATTTATATGAATATGCAATCTAGAGTTCATAAATAGATCTGCCTTTTATAGTAAATTTTAAATTAATATATTTTTTTTTAATATTTTACCATTGAAAAATATAGCGAAATAGAGAATGATTTTGAAGATTGATATAAATAGCTCTGATACATCCAACAGCTTTTAGCATTATTTCGCCATCTGTTGGCGTGTTGTAAACTCCTGTCGAGAAATCAGTCGCACTCAAATACAGCAGAACTCTGCACAATTTTATAATAATTAAATCATGTACACATACACATATACATACGTGTCCGCTGCTGTGTCTGTACAATTTTATAACAACGCGTATTACATCACGATTAATTATACTCCTTTGGCGACGTTTCGTAACAAGCATGACTTCATAACTAATAATTAAACGAACTCTTATTTTTCATTTATCGTAAAGTTTCGATAAGAGAGTTAATCGTCAATAAAGACATATCTCTTTCCATAAAATCGGAACTAGACTTAAGTTTGTGCGATAAAGCGTGACATCATTATTCTGCATTTTCGCGAAGAACGTTCTGCATCTTCCACACAATAAGTCCTTCTCTAATTCGCTCAATATGCGTGATCTTTGCTCGCGGGCGGACTCATCGAACAATGTTCACCTGCCTGCCGGGTTTCCGACAACGGTTTACCCAACCGGCAATTACGTATACTTTTCCAGCGACGAAATTGCTTCCAAGAAGCCGGGGCCGCTCTTTCCACGCGCGCTCGCCACTTCCACCGCCTCGGGAGGAACGCACGTGTACGGTGGAACGTTTGATTCTCGAAGTCACGTCACTTCCTCGAACCATCGTCGCGGTACGCGTTACTCATCACCGTTACCGGGAATTTGACGACGCTTCTCGCCGGAGTAGATTCTCCCGTTTCGCGCTCGATAAGCGAAGTCAATGTATCGCAAAGCCGATCGTTGAAGCGAGATTATGGCAGTAACGCGCGAGCGTTTTCCTTCCGAAATCAATTCATCGCTCGCATCCTGTTTTAAAGGAAAAAAAATCAACGTTTCCTTCACAGCGCGATTTCGATTTAAGGATTATTCGAAAAAGGAGGAAAGACCGATTACTTTCTGGTTTCAACATAACGCAAGTTTGTTCTGTAAATTCGTTTCATAAAAGCTGGAAAGGAGAGAACGGATCTGCAAACACTCTTTTATCGGATACGATCCCGACGACACGTCGATCTCGTGCCCTTTATTCGCGACGTCTTTTCACCGGTTTCGCGCATACGCGCATCAACGCGATTATTTCTCTATTCACCGGCTTTCCCCAAGCCCGGGGGCTGCAGGTGCCCCGGTGGTGCCTCCCCCCCCCCTCCCCAGGCTCTGTCGTATCTTTTGTATCGCGAGCGCGAATACCCGGGACGTGGTATACGCCGCGACCGGAGGGCTGGGAGGGCGAGCGAGGGAGCGCTTTAGGTGAACGCGGGGTATGCAGCGAGGGCTATCCTAGTTTTACTGCATATTGAAGCCGTAACCCGCGCATTACCGGGGCCTTTTAGTGGAAGTTCACCGAGCGGGAAAGCGGAGCGGGATGTATATTTCAACGCGCGAGCAAGCACCCGTGCATTCTCGTAGTTTCCGCAGTTTCCTCCTCCTTCTTCTCTTCCTCCTCCTCCTCTTTCTCCTCCTGCTCTCTCCGACGGGTAGTTCGTTTAATTATCGCGATAATGCCCCGCGGTGTCAAAGTTTATACTACCCGGCCGTTAGTAGTCAACTCGTCGACTACTCGCTCGATTCTCCCCGACCGCCGCTTGCCATTATCGCACGATGTAGATGGAACGAAACGAAAACCCGTTCCCCTTCGAGATTACGACGTCGTAATTAATCGATGTCACTCACCGAGCGAAAGAGGTAACTTCGAATCTGCACTGCTGCGAAAGATTTTACGCGAGCAGCAGCAGCAGCAGCAGCAACGCGGAATTCTTATTTATTAACTTTTACAATTTTAGTACGAAATGAATTCGATGGAGCTCTTCTTCGATTAAATTTCGCGGAAATATTTTTATATATTAATTAAGAGAAAGAGAGAGACTTTTAGAATAATTTAAATCTCTCAAAAATAAAATGACGAAGTAATTAAATAAAGAAGATCGATTGATGTTTAAATATTTAGTTTAAGGATTTATAAACGCAAGATATGATTTTTTTTTTTCGAGATATCTCTCACAAAGCACGAGTGATTCTAGAATATATTTTGATATCTTTTTCCTTCTGTGTAAAGATTTTATAGACAGAAAAGGAAACGACGCACTTTTATTGTGGAACAGTTTATTTGATTAAGTATCTGGAAAAATTAAGGGCTTTCAAAAAAATATAATCGATGAATGAGCTGTTAAAACAGAGACCTCGAGATCATGTAATTTACCGAAAGTCGAAAATGATGGACCGACAATCTTGCAAAAGTTACCCAGCGAACATCAAGCTTGCGCTAATTAAACTATAGTGCGTTTCATGACAGTTGAAATTCGTAATTTTCTATTCATTTTTAATTTTTTAAGATTTACGAATAGTGCACAAATGGACACATTCGTTGAACTTGCATTCGTCATTTATCATTTTATGCCAATTTGCCAGCAAAATGGTTTTCTTTTTTAACAAAATCAAAAAGTACGAATTATCATGCATGAATTGAGCATCATAGTTTAACGCAAGTTTTAGACATCTTGAAATCGTCTAACAGGTACGTTTTAAAATTTTGAAGATTAAGTACGCGTCTTATTGAGATAAAACATTTTAACAAAATTATGTTATTAATATATATATTGTCACTTCCTAATATGTATTCTCAAATAATTTGTGCGTGATTCGCGTTAGCGTTGTCCAAAACGATAATTCCTCTTTTAAAAATATTTTAGCTTGGAGTAAGAAAAAAATAATTCAAAATAAAGAATAGCTTTCGAGCAGTTGGCCCGATTGCTCGCTTTGTTCCGGTACATTTTTTCATTACAGATTGGAGGAATCTCTTTGAGCGGGATTTTCCTGGGCATGCGTAAATTATATCATCGAACAAGTGACGAATTTTAACAGACTCGTATACTATGATGCCATGCAGAACATTTTTAGAGTCCACATAAATTATTAATAATATTTTAATCGAATTAACAATTAATATGCAATATTAAATGCTATATATTAAATCTAGTAATATTAATATTATATATATATTTTTTTTTTCAACAAAAAAGTTATTAATTATGCAAAGATCACAACTAATAAATTTTATAATTTAATGATTATTATATTACAAATAATTTTGTCCAGTTTCTCAAGATTTCCAAGTAATGATCAATAATCAGAATTTTCACGAAATATTGAGCAATATTCTATTATATTTGACAATTATTCAAGATCAATATGATACATTTTCGTCTCCAAAATATATACTTTCTATATTTCTTTTTATATTTAAATACAATTAATTAATTTTATATTTTAATGCGATTATATTTTTGTTAGATCGGAAATAATTTTTGTCTTGTTTTCCTTTGCTAAGGATATTATAATTAATAATCAAAATTTTACTAGGGAAAGTATATTCAGCAATATTCTATTTGACAATTATACAAAATTAATATATGTATTTTCCCTCCCAAATTATTTTCTATATTTAATTAAATTTTACATATTTAATTACTAAACATCACGCATTTTGCACGCTCTATTTAACGTTTAAATACATATGTACGATTACATATGTATTCGTATTGGGTTATTAATTTTTCGATATACGCACAAAATATGCGATGATAGCCGCTCACAAAGTGAGCATAATAAGAAAACTAATCGACATCGCGGAAAAACGACAATAATAAATTTTGATACATGCGTGTAACAGAAATGGATTTTTCTCAGGGTTCTCACGACATCCTTCGTTACAAGACTGAACTACGTAACTGAGCGTTCGCGCAGCGCTACGAACAACGCATGCGCAAGATTCGTTCCTCTATTCACGACACTCGTGACGCTGCGTTCCGGTTCAACCCACGGTGAACGGTGACCCACGGGCCACGGAACGCAAGTCACAAGACTCACAAGTAGCGGTTACCACGGTCCAGACGATCACCGGAGGAACCGTCGGCGTCGGGGAGATCGATCGTTTCGTCAGAAAGTAATCCGATCCGTTTCGGATCTCGCCAGATCAAGATGACTGCTATACCTGGAACGGTGGCGTTCGACGAGTACGGCCGGCCCTTCATCATCATCCGTAACCAAGAGAAGCAGCAACGCCTAACCGGTCACAACGCGATCAAGGTGAGATGATGGCGGACTTCATCGCCGTCGCGCTTTTACCGCCTCGCTTCCGACGTTTCCCTTACGGGTGGCGTGTACGTGTCGATACGTCTCGTCGGTGCGCCGGCGAGGATTTTGTGATTTCTCCGCATCACGCTCGCGCGAGAGACGCTCGACCACGTGTGAACGGTAATGGCGGCATGGCGGCGTTTCGGGGTTTGGCAACGAGTAGAACGAAATACTCGAGCCGGACTGTGTACAAAGGCGATTTTTCTTCCTCACTTCTCGAGATTTTGTCCTGTGATTGAAGTATCCTTGGACGGGATCCAATTTAATACATGTCTAATATATCTCCCTCCTCAAGAGACCTTGGATTCTTTGTGACCATATAAGGGCTGCATCACGTCGGGAACGAGTGCCCCTGTGTATCATTTTATCTTTATTCAATATTCAAACAAGAAGGCTAAAATGATACACGGGAGGTATCCACGTGATGTTTCCAAACGCAACTAACTAGCCAAGGCAATTCAATTCGTGGATGTTACGATAGAGCTATGAAATTACAAACCGAGTTATTTTACGATATAAATATATATATATTTTTTATATTTGTATTTCAATTTTGAATCCAAGGAGAATTATTTTAGGCAATTTTATATTTAAGTTGTGAAATAAATTTATCAAATAAATAAAAGTGACGCGTATGTAAAAAATTGGAGCTTTAAATATGGGAAATGTTTAAATTCTTTGATTACAGTCGCACATTCTGGCAGCACGCAATGTGGCCAACATTCTCCGAACGTCCTTGGGGCCTAAGGGACTGGATAAGTTGATGGTGAGCTCGGATGGAGACGTCACTGTAACCAACGACGGCGCAACAATCTTGAAGAACATGGATGTTGATCACGAAATTGCCAAGCTGATGGTCCAATTGTCAAATTCTCAAGACGACGAAATTGGCGATGGTACTACCGGAGTAGTCGTACTGGCTGGCGCACTTCTGGAGCAAGCCGAACAGCTGCTGGACAAGGGAATTCATCCGATCAGAATTGCCGACGGTTTCGAACTAGCGGCCAAATGTTCAACTGAGCATCTTAAGACAATAACGGAGGACTTCAAGGGAACCCCGGAGAATTTGGAGCCTTACATCGACATAGCTATGACCTCCTTAGGTTCAAAAATGTAATGAAGCACTTTTATTGCTTCCAAATTCTTCGTTCGCAACTCTTTTTTTGTACTCACAATTTATTTATATATTACAGCGTTAACAAGCATCATCGACAGATGGCAGAAATAGCTGTGCAAGCTGTTTTGGCGGTCATGGATCCTGTCACTCGCGACGTTAATTTTGAACTAATCAAGATCGAAGGCAAGGTTGGTGGCAGATTGGAGGACACTGTTTTAGTACGCGGTGTCATTGTCGACAAAGATTTCAGTCATCCACAAATGCCGAAGGTAAAGTTCGGAGAGTGTATTACATTGGATCTCTATCTCATGATAAATATGCTACATATTTAATGTTCATGTTACAGAGGTTAGAAGACGTCAAACTGGCCATCTTGACTTGTCCGTTTGAACCACCAAAACCCAAGACAAAGCATAAGTTGGATGTCACGTCGGTCGACGATTACAGAGCTCTGCGCGATTATGAACGCGAGAAGTTCACGGAAATGGTGAAACAAGTGAAAGATGCTGGTACAACACTGGCTATTTGTCAATGGGGTTTTGACGACGAAGCCAATCACCTTCTGCTGCAGAATAATTTGCCCGCAGTTAGATGGGTTGGCGGTCCAGAGATCGAAGTGAGTGGTATTCTCATAATTGCATTTTTTTTCTATAATTATTTTTATAGCAATTGTTACTTGCTAATGATGAGAAAAGAGCACAGAGGAGGTGCGAAAGTTCGGAGAACTGGCTTGTCTTAGTTTTGGTAGTATTAGTCTTCTCTCAAAAATTAATATTATATTAATTTTCGAGAAAAATGAAAAGCTTTCAAAATTAGATAGCTGGTGATCTGGCTCTCGTGGTGGCTCCAATGATCCAAAGATTATGAGATCTGAAGCAATAGCGATCTTTTTACCGTATTGTGCGTTTTGTTTGTAAAATATTGAAGGAATCAAATCTTTTTTTTTTTCCAGCTTATTGCCATCGCGACCGGTGGACGCATTGTACCTCGCTTCGAGGAATTGACGCCGGAAAAACTTGGTCACGCCGGCGTTGTTAGAGAGTTAACATTTGGCACAACAAAAGATCGCATGCTGGTGATCGAAGAATGCAAAAACTCGCGCGCTGTGACGATCTTTATTCGCGGCGGCAACAAAATGGTATGTAACGACAGCTATTGACGGAAAAATTTTATGCAAGGAGAATTTCAGTGGTGCTTACAATGTACATAACTGACCAGACACCTTGCGATAGTAGTGCATTGCAATTAAACTATTCAATGCTGTGTAATTGGACTTATTCTTTTGTGATGCAACACTCATTTGTGTTATTAAGATAATTTGTAGAATTTGTATAATATAAATTGTTTCCATGTTTTTTTTTATAGATAATCGAAGAAGCGAAACGGTCCATACATGATGCATTATGTACCGTACGCAACGTAGTAAAGGACAGCAGGATTCTTTACGGTGGAGGCGCGGCGGAAATATCTTGCGCGCTGGCATGTATGGCACAGGCTGATAAAATCAGCACGTTGGAACAGTACGCCTTCCGTGCCTTTGCCGAAGCTTTGGAGAGCGTTCCCATGGCACTTGCGGAGAATTCAGGCCTCTCTCCGGTAGATACCATAGCGGAAATTAAGGCGCGTCAGTTAGCCGACAAGAATCCCGCTCTTGGTATCGATTGTTTAAATCGAGGCACACCGAGTACGTATCGATCTTTATATTGTATACTGTTACATATATGTCGGGAAATTATTACGAATTGTTTGTTATAGATATGAAGAAACAGAATGTCATCGAAACGCTGACGAGCAAAACACAACAGATCTTGTTGGCTACGCAGCTCGTGAAGATGATACTGAAAATTGACGATATACGCTCACCCCACGACGGCGGCGATGCCTAAATATTAAGTTTATATTTAATTTTATTTTATAAATCTATTAAATGCTTTATTCTAATTGGTATCGTTCTGTGTGCTGCATTTATTTTTACATTTGTAATAATAATTCAAAGCTTCAATTGGTTGAATTGAAAATTGTTGTTTACGTCATCTTGATTTAATTTATACAATACTAATGTACAATATTATTTCTGACTTGTACACCAATATGTGGCATTAATTATTAAGCGATACCTGATTCACAGCCACTTGTGTTCTATTTTTCCTCTACTCTTTCAAAGTAAATATAGAATTTCTCCTAGCACGTAGAGAATACAGTTATTGCAATCGGGAACTTCTAATAACGCAATATGGCGCGCTTTTGCATAACTTTTCGTGCAAAAAAAAACAATAGAAATGAGATAAGAACTAATCAATCGCCTTTTTTCTTCTTGATTATAAATTTCTGATTTTTAAATCGTAATACCACGATTTATATTGCTCACAAGTTATCATTTATTGCAACTTGAGAAGAATATAAATCGTATTACAATTCTATCACAAAAATTTGAAGTGGAATAATACCTTTTTTTTTTTTCACTTGAAAAATTCTTATTCTATACATGAGATGACAGGACCGGGATTCAAACCCAGATTTTTCGATTGAAGAGGCGATTGCTCTACCACTAAGTTATCCAGCACCTCGACTTTATTTTCACTGTAGGAACAAATAAGTATGTCACATCGAGTCAAGGTGGAATTGTGTAAATATATTCTGTCTATAACATCTTGAGGGAAGGGATGTTTTCTTTCTTTTTTTCAGACATCATTCTGTGGAATGCGTTTGTAATGCGCGAAACCAATGACAGACCGAACGAAATAACAAACGAACATTGTTACGATCTACTCGTAGAATGGCACAAAATACAATCGCATGTACATATGTATAAATTAGAATACAATAATTATATACTCCCGTTTCTTTCGGTCGCCTTTTGTCGTATTTTCTTCTCATTCGTGCAGTGTATATCAGTCCGTTATCGGACCCAATTTTATAATAGCTCTTTCTCCGTATCTTTCGTATCACAAAATATACACTCTAGTTCCAACATGACGTTATATCTTCTCTCTCTCGTTCTCTCTCGCGCGTTTCCTTTTTACATATTAATTACAATCTTTAACAAGTTTTCAACTTTATCGTACATACGAAATTCTCACAAGGATGTATAAATGAAAAAGTTCCGCCGTATATATGTAAAGTAGATATAAATATTGTAGTCACACATAATTATATCATCATTTCTATATATTTGTTTATTAGACTGCTTTCCTAGTGGGAATTATTTTATTACGTGTATAATTCCCGAATTTAGTTAACTTAAAATTTTCAAAATTCACAAATTTTCCATTTTTATTTGGAAAAGAAATAAATACGAGACACACATTTCCTTGTATTTCAAGGAAGAAACGATTTATACATCAGAGATGTAACTCTGAGAATTTTATTTATTTTTAACGCAATAGCGATCGATAAAAAAAATCTTAAGATCCTTGTAAGAGCTTCGCACCTCCCTTGTGCCTCCCTTAACATTTCGCTGTACAATACTATACAGTAACAATAATGAAAAATATCGCTCTTTCTACCTTACCGAAACCTGACTCGTCTACCTGTACAACAGAATTGATTTCGAACGCGAATACGATTCGGAATGCGACGACATATCATAAAATCTACAAATTACCCGAGTAAAAAAGAAATATATATAAAACGTGATATCGATGGGGCCGCGCTCTCTCGATTCGTCTACGTCTTAACGTAGCCGGATTACCGGTATCACTAACTTCCTGTACGAACAAATGGATTAAGCGAGTTTTGGTTATTCGCGTACAACGTTTTCAACTAAAGACACAGTATAGTACAATAGTGTGGGGATCTTGATTAGGATCGTGCCTAGCTTGCGTTACACCTTCTTGAGCATGGGCAAATGAAGCACCTCGGGTATCTCGATATCCTCGAGTCGAATGTCCGACGGATTGAATGAGAATCTTACGGGATAGGAGTACTTCAGATCCATTAACAGCTGAAAATAAAAAAAATATCCATTGTTACGTATTATGAAAAAAAAATTTTTCAAGCTCACAAACGAGTATCTTTTAAGAATTGGCGGTTTTCCCAATCGTGAGGAAAACTTACTTGTTCGTTGTTCTCGCCGCGCTCTTTCAGTTTATCTTGTACTTTTTTGATGAACGAAACAGGGACTCGACTTTCGTAATCGTCGACGGGCGTGTACAGATTCAGAATTTTCACTATTTGATTGGCCGTCAGTTTGTTGCACATCTCGCAGACGGAATTAACGTCCTCGTCCGTCTTGCGAGCCTGCAGAAGCTGCGACGCCTGTATGATAGGCTGTAGCGCTTCCGACGCGGTCTCTAGTCGTCGGTCTCTGCCCCATTGCTCCAAATGGCTCATGTTATACCTTAAATAGTAAACGAAAGATAGTGTAATTCCTACAAAATAATATTCAATATTGTTACGTGAATAATCGCAGAAAATAAATAATTGTAAAGTCAGGCCCCGATTTGGAAGATTAAGATTTGAAAAAGGAATTTAAGCTTTTTCTAATTTGCATATTTTCTATAAAGCCGCTAGTCTGTTGTTGAATTCCTCGTTATATTGTTAATAAGTAAATCGAAGAATTAACGTCATGATTTGTCTTACCTTATCTGCATGCCCTTCGTCCATCGGCAGAGCTCGCTCCTGAGCAGCAGGTTGTTCAGAGCGCTGGCGCACATGAAGTAAAACAGTTGCTTAAAGAGCTGCATTATGACTTCGGGATCCACGCCGTGGTACTGTAAAGTCTTGTGCACTGACGTCAGCTCGTCCAGAAGCTTGTCGAGTTTTTGCTGCGTGAAATCCGGTTCGCCGCCCATGGACGACGACCTGGGCCGCCCGGTCTTGTCGGTCGGAACGGATATCGCCTCGTGCTCCAGCAAGGCCGGCACGGTAAGGGCTTGGATCCTCTCCTTGAGATTCGTGATGAGATTGTTGAAGATCCAGAGGGCCACGTTGCTCAGCACGACGCGGTACTCGCTCAGGTCGAAGTTCCTCAGGCACTGCTCGTTCTGCCTGGGCGTGTTCTCGATCTGGAACGGTTTGTCGCCGGAGTATTGCTTCATGTTGTGCAGCAAACGCAGAGTGTTGCTCAGCCACAGCACCCTGGAGTCGAAGTCGTCACGTTTCTTCTGCACGCGTTTAACGGCGTTCAGGTACTCGGTCAACAGCGCCCGCACCTTCTCGTCATCGTTAATGCAATCAGTGTGTCTGATGCACATGAAGAGGATGTAGGCCGGTAAGCCCGGTAGCAGTGTGATCGCCACTCTAGGCTTTAGCTCTGAAAAAGGCGGAGGTATCGTAAATTTTTGTATTTGAAAATCGTACATACATTAGGAGTAGAAATAAATGAAAGTTAAAAGTTGAATACAAAAATCTGAATATATTTTAGTAACGTAAAATTAAATTATTTTTCTCTCGCAGAATAAATTTTATGAATTCGAAAATGTTTAAATATAAAAATTTATAAATAAAATAGAATTTATCGAAAAGCGACGAGAAGCAACATCGACACTTACCAATGACCATGTGACGTATGATCAGGTTGATATCCTCCTTCCTGAATTCGAACATTCCTTCATAATCCCTCTCCTTTTTGCGAATAATAGGCATGTTACTTCCGTCTCCGTAAGTACCGGAAACTGCGACGCTGCCGTTTGCGTATTCCACTGCGTTGGGCACTGCAAAATTAAGACTTTCGTATTCATGCATTTCTCGAAATCTTTAGAAAAATGTACTTACAACATCAAGAGATGATGAGTTATGTGTGATTAAACTATTCGAACAGTCTATGGCTGTGTTTCGGGGAGCGCACTATCAGCGCTATTATGTCTTTTTACCTTTATCGTTAATTAAGTGTAAAACAAGGTTGAAATGATGCAATAGCGTCGATAACACGCTCCCCGAACGCAGCCTACCTATATATGTAATCTTTTATATAATTCTTTATTTTTCTGAATTTTTAACTTAAATAACTATTTATCTTATGAAACAGTTTCTATTTCGTCTTTCGATTTGCAAAAAAAGCTTACTATCTTTTACATGCACAAATTCATTCTGCAGATAATTCAGATAACGAGATAAGATCATAATGACATCTGTCAAGACTATACACACTCACCAGTGCCTTTCATATCACGTTCCTCACCTTCATCTTTGATAGCATTAGGAGATAAAACAATTTGTGATATTCAATGCAATTCTAATTGCACAGCAATAGACCTCTAAATGTATTTCTCACAATATGCATATAATTATTTTATAATACTTACATCCAGCATCCTTGAGTCGTTTCGCCAGGATTCTGCACTGTTTCTTGAAGCGTCTGCATTCCTCCGCTACTTTGTCATATTTCTCTTGAAGTTCCTTTAAGACATCATAAGAAATATAAGTATATTAATTTATATTTATAAACAAGAATTTAATATAAATTTTGTTACGATAAAAAATATATTTAGATTTAAAAGCAACATAACAAAATTGAATAGGAATAATAAACTTTATTGATAAAACAAATTTGTTTTACTTACAAGATTTTCAGACGTCAGTCTGGCAACCTCATATTGCATGTAAAGTTCCGCTTGAGTTTGCGGCGATTTACTTAAATTAATCGAGAGCAGCTTTTGCTGCTTCTCGATTTCTTCTTGCAGTCTGTCTATCTCGTTTCGCCACTCGTCTCTTTGCGCTCGCCAGTTCCTTTCCTTCGCCTGCAGCTCGTCTTCCAATTGCCTTAAAAACACAGAAGCCAAGTTTCTCACTTTTCGTTAATTATTACGAGAAATCTCTTGAATTGTTCAATCGCAAATTAATTATTCAATGGAATCATGCTAAACATATGAAATCATGCTGTTATAAAATGATTATTAAAATGTAGTCTGAGAAATAATGACAAACATATTGAGGAAATTTAGCATGACTCATACAATTCACAATCAGTTAATAACATTAATTTTGTTGATGTAAAGAAAACTGATTTGAAATGTTTCAAGACGTTCATGATAAAATTATAAAATCTCTTTTTTTTTGATTGAACAGTTCAATAACATTCAAACGGGTGAATCTGCTCGTGAATCTGCTCAACTCACTCTCCTCTCGATGCCTTTGTGTTAGTTTTACTGAAAAGTGCATGCACAAACGACAAAATACGGTTGTTAGATGTTTTTGTGGCACTTTGTCAATAGTCAACTCTACAACTAAACGTATCGTTTTGCATTACCTGTTAATCTTCTTCTGCGCCTCGAAGGCAAGCACCAGCTCACCGTCCTCGTTTATAATGTCCACGTCGCGACCGTAATTGGCGGTTAAGTTTTTCATTCTAGTTGTATGATCGGCCAACACGCTGTGCAGCTGAATACACTCCTCTCTTCTCCTCTCCAGTTCTTCTTGTAGCGCCTCGAATTGTACTACAATGTCATTACGTTAGCATTATCATGTGTCTTTTGTAGTAATTACGAACATACAAATATATGCGGAAAGTATTTAAAAACATTTTTTTTCATATAATTGACGCTTTAAACATATATTGTTGAATTCTATAAAATGTGCACTAAGTATCGCGCCATACGCTCATTGCCCTAATTATTAATTCTTATTTTTTAAACATATATGTTGCTAAACTTTTGCAAAATTTATTCTTTTTATATCTTGAAGTATTTTTAGCATTTAAAGAAAAAACACAGAGAATGAATTCATATAATAAAGCGATAATTTTGCAAGCAGCGTGAAGTGCATGATGTAGTATGTAATTAAAATTGTTTGCAATTACGTATTACATTAAAATTAATATTTAATACTGAACATAGAGAATGAAGAGCAGTGTTTAGAGGACACAGGATAGAAGAAGGCAGAACAGCATAGAATAAAAAGCAGAAAGTAGAAGTTATAGATACACAGTACGTTTATCTATATCATGCTTTGATTTTTAAGAGGTTGTTTGAAGATACAAAATCAATTAATTGTATATTAAAGCCAGTATGAATATACGGTGTTTAGTGAAAGAGGCAATACATAGCTAATGAGTTGTAATATGAAATTACTCATGAGATTTTGTTGCGCGGACGATGGACTGGCCGACGACACGCTCTTCCTCAGGGAGTACAAGTCATTTTTAAGTTGCGCGTTCTCCATTTCCAGTTCTTGGAGCTGTAAGCAGACCCATCATTGTCTCGCTTAATCATTGATAATAGCGATAAGACAACGCAGCACAATGAAGTGGATTTATCGCGATAATCTCTTAATGCTTAAATGACGTCGAGTTCGCATCAGAAAAAAATTGATAGGATAAGACTCAGGATAAACTCAGGAAAAACTAATAAAAAAATGAGAATTCAACATAAAATGATATCATTTTTACAAAAAATTTCCTTTACTTACTCTGAACGAATCTTGCGTTCTGGATTCGTCGTTACTATCACGTTCCAGATCCTCGACCATTCTGATTAATCTGCCTTTCTCTTTCTCGACGTCCTTCAGCTTCTGTTGCAGCTTCAGGACGAGACCGATGTCCACGGGTGCGTGTGTGGGCACGGGCGCCTCCAAAGGCGATTTGTTTGACTGAACTTCTCCATCGGGTGGACTATCCGACCGTTGTTGATTCCAGTCGATCGTTTCTACTCGTGAGTAGGGCGTTGATGAGGATGCCGTGGATCTCACGGAGCCGTAACCGAAATCCTATAAAAAGAAATTGGGACATATTATATATAATTTCAATAAATTTATTTTAATTGCAATTATGATAATCATATTTTATTATCATAATCATATTTTTATGATATCATAGACGGATTTCGAAGATGAAATAGATGAAAGTAATTAGTATATCACTATAATTGTTTAGACTGATTTTATACTTTTAATTGCATATTGAAATTCTTTCTTTTATATAAAGGAGATTTTTTAGTTTATTCAGTAATACTGTGGTAATGACTTACGACGTTTTGATCGTCTTGCTGAATCTCTGTCGACGTGATTTGGCCACTGCCACTGGAAGCATTGCTCAAGGAGCGCGAGTGCCCAAGCACTCCTTGTAACGCCAGCTTTTGTTCCAGTATTTCCGCGTGCTGTTCCATCTCGTGATAGTCCTTGAGCAGTCTCTGATAGGCCCCGCGATCCTGATCCTGGTCCAGCCGAAGCAGATCTTTCTCCTGTTCGAGCCGATACTTCAGATTCTCCTCGGCGCCGCGCTGATTGCTCTTCAACTTCTCGTTCGCTATCGAAAGTTCCTTTCGTAATCTTTCATTCTCCTCTTGTAACTTCTTGTTCTCCTCATTCTTCAGTAGAGCAATTCTCTCCTTGTCGTGCAGTATGTCCATCTTCTCGTCTTTCTCCCGCTGTAGAATTTCCTCCATCTTTTTCAGCTCCCTTTCTTTGTCCTGCATCACTCCGTTCAGTTTCTTATTCTCAACGTCGACGGATTTCAAGCCGTCCAGCTTGCATTTTAAATCTATCATCTCGTTTTGAACGTTCTTCAAGTGCTGATTCTCCTTCGCCTGAAATGACAAGTTTGCACATTTCTTAGATGCCACGTATTATTGGAAAAACGTTAAAGTAAATATTAAAACATATAATAATAAATACATTATAATTTTTAAGGCCACATTTATATGTATATATTATATGTATATATTATGTATATATTATTTATATGTATATATTATATGTATTTATATGTATATAATATTAATAGACAATACGTCACTTACCATTTCGTTTATCTTCTGCTGCAATGTGATGATCTTCATCTCTAATCCTTTGTTGAGCGACTTGACGTGCTCCACACTCCTGGCTTCGGTCTTTAGTTGCCTGAAGATCTTCTTCGCCTGACGCTTCCTGTAGCATGACTGCACGATTATTATGTCCCTGAGTTTCTTCTTGCACGCCATCCTCACGAGATATCCACGAGCGAATCTCTGGATCACCGTTGCTGCGGCGTGATCCTTCATTTTCCTGTATTTGTCGCGAGCCATGTTGCCTCTGCCACGTGTTTGTAAACCGAGAATCGTGCGTTTTACGCGCAGGTACCATCGTCGCTGTAGCCAGCCCTTCACTTGCGTCTGAATCTTCACCGCCGCTCTCTCCCTTCTCACAGCCTCTGCCTTTTGCCGGGCGATTAAACCCCGGCCGTACCTCTGAAGACCCAGGATCGATCTGCGGATCTTCCTGTACCTGTTACGATAGATTAGACCGCGCACGGTCTTCTGAATCATTAGGCAGGCGTCACGCTGCCTCTCCGCTCGTAGCTTCTCCAGATATGCCACCTGACCGGCCCGGAAGAGTACCTTGGTCTTGCCAAACTTGAACTTGTCCTCGTCGTTGATATACCTGGCCAGGATGCGCCGGCAGGTCTCCTTCAGATCATCCCGCCGTATCTCCTTGAACCTGCAGAGGCAGCGGTACCTCTGGAAGAAGTCGCCGTACGTACGCTGGCTTGGGAAACCTGCGGCGGAGATCCTGATGGTCTCCAGAACTCCGCAAGCGCGCAGCTGCTGCACCGCTCGCACCGGACTATACTCGAAGGCCTCCTTCTCGTCGTTCGGCTTGATGCAGCGCACGTAGTGCGGCGTTGTGGCGTTCAGCGTGGCCATCAGCATGTTGAGGGAGTCACGGAACTGCGAGCCGACCGTCTTCTTGTTCTGCTTGTTGGCTGCACTCGCCGGCGCGCTCTTCTGAGCGGACACTTTGACTCTTGTGTGAGGCACTGCCAACTTAGGATCCTCGTCACTGAACAGCCTTCTCAGCAACTTGTTCTCGCAGCTTCTCAGCACGTCCACTTGCTCCTCGATCACGGTGTCGCGATTCTTTTCTAGGAAGCCCACGGTTTCGTATTGCACGAGGTCGGCGAAGTGATGGATCAAGAACGCTGTAGTGCCGAATCGCGGTTTTTCGAAGTGCTTAGACTTGATGCACTTGGTGTACAACTTCTCCGCCCAGGAGGCGTCCGAACCCTTCGGCATGCGGCACTCCTCGTCGAGGAGGTCCAGAATTCCGAGCTTGGTCTCGATCAGATCGATGCACGGCTGATTGTCGTAAAAGTCGATGAAAGTCCACTCGATATCCTCTTTTAAATATTCCTCCTGCTCAAGTTTAAAGACATGCGAGTTGAACTGCTGCTGGAGCTTCTCGTTCGCGTAGTTGATGCAAAACTGTTCAAAGGAGTTGATCTCAAACGTTTCGAAGCCGTAAATGTCCAATACACCGATGAAGCAATGTGCCTGACTGGGTGACTGCAGCGAGGTGTTGATATTTGTCACGATCCAGTTGAAGAGCTCGGCGTAGATGTGCTTGGCCAGGGCGTCCCGCGCGCCGTTCGCCTGCTCCACGGTCATAGGCTTCAGGAAGACCTCCCGTGTCGAAACGATCTTTCGATGGCACAGCCACTTGCGCATCGCGGCTATTTCGACGCCCAGCAGCTCGGAAATGACGAGCAGGTGCCGGTCCTTCGGCGAGATGTAACAGGATTCGGTGTCCACCTCGCCGTCCTTCGCGTCCTTGATCACGCAACTGCTTATGTTTACGTTACCTAGGTGTAGTATGGCCGCCAGTATACGCAACATGTCGTCCTGCTGCTTGGACGTGAAGCCAAGCATCGTCAGCGCACTTATCGTCTCGTCGAAATACGCGAGATCGTCCACGCCGTCGATCCTGGGATTGTTGCCCTGATTGAGATAATGAAACTGATCCTGATCAGTCAGGTGTAAATGGGGAAGACGCCTCGCCGCCGAGCACATCTGATAGAAGATATGGTAGTTTCGCTCCTCGTTCGCTTGAAACACCACCCGCGACTTCTCCAGCAGGTACGTCCTCATGCTCGCGCCGGTGATGTGATAGTTCTTATTGAACTGGATCTCGATAAACTTTCCGAATCTGGAGGAATTGTCGTTCCTGGTAGTCTTCGCATTCCCGATCGCCTCCATGATAGGCGAAGAGGCGAGAACCTTCTTCTCGATCTGCGTTTCCGTCGCCGATCCGCCGACGGTCGCAAAATACCGCATGGTGTACTTCGCGGAGACCGTTTTGCCGGCGCCCGATTCACCGGAGACGATAATCGACTGATCATGGTTCTCCCTAAATTAAAAGATTGAATAAAACTATTATTTCAATTAAATTAAATAGTATTGTGAAAATTTAAGTAAATTATATTAAGATTTACAATATTATATAGTATATACATAATAATGCAAAATATTTTGTATGAATGCAATTTAAATTTGTTATTAAGACTAATTTATTACTAATTGAGGTATATTTTTTTTACTTGTACAGTCATTATTTGTTAAATTTTATCCAACGGAAAGACCGCTTGATTTACTTTTTAATTAACTTACTTTTTAATCGATGTACAAATATATATATCGATGACACAATCTATAGATAAATATTGACAAGAGATTACTTACCTCTCCAACTTCGTATAGGCTTCCTCGGCCACGGCGAATATGTGGGGTTCCAGGTCGCCCATCGCCTGGCCCCTGTAGGCCCATATCGTATCATTGCCGTAAATGGGTAATTCGTTGTACGGGTTGAAGGCTACCAGGACGATGCCGCAGTAGGTGTAAATGGAATGCCGTTGAAAGCGGATCTGGAGATTGTAGAGGACAGCGGGCTCGTGAAGAAACGATAATGACGTGAGATTATTTTCTCCTATCAGTATATCGGGGTTTCGGAGTGGCGGAAGATCGTTGTCCGATCTGATCTCCAATGTCTTCGTCTGTTTCGACTCCTCCGTACGCACTTTCAACATCGGCTGATTCTGCCTGTAGTTCTCCAGGAGCACGGCGCCCTCCCACACCTTTTCCGGATGCGGCACCCATACTCGGCCGTCCTACAATTCACACATGTTGTTTTTGCGTTAATAAAGTTTCGTTGATTTTATGATATCGTTTTAATATAAAATCGGGGCGCATCCCTTCGTTTGTTAACGCCGAAGATTCATGAAGTTATTAAAAGGTCGATAAACACGCAAGGCTATTGAAGCTAAATATATTTTTGTTAAAGAACACTACACTGTTAAATTTATAGTGTCAAATTTAACTCTATTTGAGTCGTCACTGCTCCTACTTAATACATGGTTATTTTTAACTAAAATGAATTTAAATAATTTAAAACAGTTCATATTTAACCTAAATTTGGGTTAAATTTCATTGTTTTAATTAAAAATAACTATATATATATATTAAGTAGGAACAGTGGCGACTCAAACAGAGTTAAATTTGACGCTATAGATTTAACAATGTAAATGATTCTCTTAGCTTTATTTTAGATTTTAGTAAAAATTAAGGTTAAAGTTTGCGTTACGGGTATTTAAACGAGTTCAAACGTAATTTATTACATTTGTTTATATCGTACAATCGTTTGCATTTAATTGGTCGTCGAGTGACTTTTTAAGCATCACGAAGACGACCCGCTTTTTCCTTTTGGCGTGTATAAAGGTCGCCAATAAGAATATATCGATTCGGTCGACCAATGCTCCAATTCGCCGTTATTTCATGCATTCAATGTTATCATATACTATTCGCGTACGATAGAAGACATCCGAACACGGAGAAATTACTGTTCTATTCAACCTTAGTACTTAAACGTAACGTTCACCATTAATCACGCACGTGACGAAAGAGGACAACATGACATACAAGATCAATGATTCCTTTTGTGCTTTTCGAATACGAAATTGATCTACATAAAAAAAATACAGGGCATATTATTTCTAACATTAGAAAGAAAACTAAAACTTGAATCTGTTTCCCAATTACTTATTTAACTATAAAATGTGATATACAAAACCGTATGATGTTATTTATATTAATTTAATATTTTAATTGCTCACGCAGATGTTACAAAATAATGCGAAATCTATAGAATATGTTTAAAGCGGAAATCCAAGAAATTATAGGCTATCATGCAGAACATCATGTAGAATTTTAGACCACCCGTAATCATCAGAAATAGTTTTACAGTTTGACATTTTCTACATGTGCGAACATGAGTGGATAACGGTGTATCCGCCAAACCCAACGGGCTTTTGTGTTTGTTGCAAGGATCTCTACGTATTGTCAAACCGGTATACCGAGATCACCCAATTGTGTTACGAATGTACTATCCAGAAGCATGTCAAGCAACGGTAAATTGGTTTTTTTTACCGAAGTCGCGGCTTCCCTTTCGCCGTCCCACATTTCCGGATGATCCCATAAGTAACGTCGGCGATCCGTAACAATAATTGGTAAGCTTTATAGACAAAATAATTTATTAAAATTAAATATAATACTCTTTTTTCGTGAGCATTCCGAGATAAGAATTGCCTGGATTTAATCTTATAATTCTCAAAAAAATTTTGTCTACATATAACGATCTCTATAAATAGGTGCCCAAGGCTGTATAATTATGCTAATACAAACGCTTTGATATATGTAAAATGACTACAATTTACTGATAGGATTTTAGATTTGGGATTGAAACATGCTTTATACTGAAACATATTTTAGAAGTCACATAAAAGAAAATTGCAGTCTTAATTTTACAGTTTAAGAAGATTCGTGAATGTGAAACGCATAATTACAGTAATTATCCCATTTATGCTGAGATAACAATTATAAAATGTCGTGCGAAATGGCAAAACTTGTGAATTTGCAACGTCACGTTTACTTTAACGATAACGAGCTTCACCTTATTAATTACTGCATCGCGATGATTATTCGCGTCGATCGCATCTCCATAGTGCGTGCGAAAATCTTTCAGAAATGATAGATAAAAAGGCGCCGGTTTTTCTCCTTGTTAAGGTCATAAATGACTTTATTACACGAGCCAATTAATCACATTTAAAAAAACGGTGAAATACGTGACCCTGAACTTCGATCCCACAGTGTGTGGGCTGTGCACGTGTGTCATTAATTACGCAAGATACCGTTTCGCCGGCTTGAAGAAGAAATAAAAATGTGGACAGGTGACGCGCAATGGTCGCAAAGTCACTGACGCGGCATAATTAAACCTCTTATCTCTTCGTTTGCCCCTATCGACTCGTCTCTTGCTGGTATGACTCACGAAACGCACGGCTACTCGTGCGTATTTGTGCGAAATGTGCGTAAGATTACACTGTGCTACACGACGCCATTAATAAACATCGTGTCGTAATAAGTGCTTACGCCATCAGAATTGGAGTATCAATGATATTCGTGCCGTAATATTTAATAAACGACCTTAGACAAAGTCGGCTTAACACTTTTAATTAACGCGAACTGATACGATCTATTTGAGTCACACTCTCGTTCTAATGGATTAAGAATAAATCAGTGAGTAATTATCGGAATCGAAAGATAATGACATCTCTTCTATATAAATACAATTCCTTTTAAGGAATTTCTTTCAATATATTTTTTTCTTTTATTTCCTAAATTAACGAAATTTGTAGATTACGTTGGTTGTAAAATGTACAAATCATAAAAGACACACAGCCTTTGCATACAAGAATTTATATATACTTATAGGGCTTAGGGAATCAAGGTGTCATGAGATGAAATTTTATGTCGGTATGCGAAGGTTTGTACCATAGTATATTAGCTAATTACATAAGAGACTTTCGCTGAAGCGTTCGCAGAGTTCATAAAGGAAAGAAAGACGATGGAAAGGTAAACGTAAATAAAGGATAAGTCGAGGTATTCCTGGAAAGTATCCGACCCAGGGGTTACATACAAGTTACCAATACCACAGCCAATGCAACAGCATTATACTAACACAAACTTTTCGAGCCGTATGATCAGTTAGACGGAAGGTATTTTCAATTTTGTTCTTTTCATTTTATCTTAATTTTTTAAAATTAAACTTCGCGGCCTCCGAGAGTTTCCTTTCATACGTGAACCTCCTTTCATCGTTCAAGATTTTACACGGATTAATGTACGTCTTGACTAGCTCCCTCGCTTTATGGCGGCATATTCAAGAAATTGTTCCCATGCTTTCTATGTTATATGCCCGCGACATGCAACAACACAGCAGCAAGGCCAATTATCACCATGGGCTCACGGGGAAAAGGAACAAAAACTTGAATTCTCTACCGGGTTCTCATAGTCTAGGTCTTTAATTGAAGAGATGCCCAGAAGACAAAAGTGATCCGTGCCATAGAAAGTTACAGCGCATTTTGCGTAATTTCTTACCCTAATGCAAATGAGTCTCTTAATTCCACTGTCGCCTTCGGTCGCGGATTAATAATGATAATGGTATTGTGACATACGTTTGATGTGCACATGATTAAGATATGGCATTAACAATGGACAATTAAAAAAGCACGATTAAATGTGGAAATAAGAAAGTGATTTGTCTCTGTCACATGAAGAACTTTGCAAATTATGTTGAAGTTTTATTGACACTATATAAGTTTCTATTTTGAAAATGCTATTTTCCTCCCTCTTCCTCTTTTTTTCTACTTTATATATTCTTGTAAATTATATTTTCCTCGCAAAAGCGAGAAAGTTTTGTTGCAGCAGCGTACGTTTTCGTCGCAGCTGACGTGATCGATGCCGCCCCAATTTTACGAAAACTACTCGTTGGCAATGTATTTTCTTCGAAACTTGATGCAAGTCACTGTACGCATATGCGCGAAGCAGCTTTGTTGCCTCTGCACGGGCCGGGCGACGCAACCCTTCCGTTGTTCTGTATATTCGAGCTTCACTATCGACGTAAGGCTTCCGTTGCATTTTACACATGAGGCTCTTTTCTTGCTAATCGCGCGAATATTTTTCACGTGTTCCTTTCGTGTACAGATCAATATCAGGACTTAGCAAAATTAAATTAAATGTTTATTCGATTTTGTAATTAATACATATTAAAAATTTTTTTATTAATAATTTTGGCTGCTATATTTCAGATTAAGCTAAGTGTATCGCTTATTGAATATGTAACGTGATCGTTTACTTGTTACGGCATTATAACTAAGTAATGTAAATGTGGCCGTGGAAAATGAAGAAACAATATAACAGAAACGATATAACGGAAAATAAAGAAACAATATAACAAAAGAAATAAGAAAAAAACTGTGTTTAATAAAAGAAGCAGTTCCCACGCTAATATAAAATTATTCATTAAAACCATTAAAAAGTTAATTAATAATTTTATAGATTTAATATACACAATATAATATAAAATAATTGCATTTCTACTGATTAATTAATGAAATTAAAAATCGCATATATCTTGAAATAACTTAATGTATTTCTAAAATATTAGGATTTTTGAGTTGTGTATTTTATTGATTTTATTGAATAGCGATATTGTACAAAAGCAATATTTAACTGTGGTGAAACAACTAGCGAATTATTCTATTTTCTATACGTGTTTTCATTATCGCTGTAATAATAAGTAATTATATCAATTATGATCAGACAAAAAGTTTGATTGCTAGCACGTGACAACAGCATTCAATGTTTCACAGTTTCAAGTCTTCATTTTCCTGTGCAATTTTAGCCTAGGTAGAAGCAATTGGAGGGGAGTCGCAATCTTATCACTACGAGGCCATCCCGGAATGTATGATTCATGACATGGATTTCTACAGCGACAAACTTAACTGTACGGATTTGTTACGTGTTCGGTTCGTAAACATCAACATTTAAAATTTGAAATAGAATGGAGTTTACGGATATGCGAACAGAGGGACTTTTGGATATTGAAGAAACGAAGATTAAAAATATAAAGAAGAAACATCGGATTGCATAAGCTCATAAATACATATAAAAACGCGAAAACGATCAGTGAAAACTTAAATTCAGTATTTATTAACATGTTCCATTTTTTATTTTTTATATTTTAGACCCCATTATTTTCGAAAGCGCGAATTGACAATTATGCATCTTAAAATGTGTACGCGCTAATAGTGTTCTTCGTTAGGCGACCATGAAACGCACGTGGATGATTTAAAAGCAGGCTGTAAAAACTTTGAGATCTATTAACAACCGATGCAAACAACTTCAACGAATTTACCTTCTCTGCCAGTTGGTATCGGCGATGTAATAGTAAGATCGATTGCTTACGTTGGCATATGCGTTTACCTTTTTCCTATTTAATAGGCTATAAAACGCAAACGCGCGTTAATCTAATTCCCAATTACACTAGAGACATAATTTAAAGGCTTCGATATATATCAAGCTATTAAAATATGCGCTATTAATTGCGCGCGTGTGTGTGCATATATTTCTTTCTTTCCTACGCACGCGAAATTATAATACGTGATTTAATAATTAGAGCTTAAAGATACACCCACGTTGCAGTTTGCGTCATAAAAAATGTGGACAGTTTAATTTTGCCTAATCACAGCGTCAAGCGCCGTAAGAAATAGCGTCATTACATTTTACTGCGCTCAGTTTTTAACTCTGAAATAATGGCAATGCCCTTCGGCGCAAAATAAAACGTAATGTAGCGTGACACTGTTGTGAAAATATCTTCGTCGGTTAATGATCCCGAGACGTGATTAATCGGTCCCGATAAACAAGGGCAGATTTAGCAACACATCAGAATGTTTCCGCGAAAGAAAGACCGCGACCGTGAGAACGCGACTTTCCGCTTCGGGCGCGCGGGTGTTAGTTTCGCGCGCGTCCGTAAAAGCGAAATGCTTTCGCGTGTGGGATACCGCCGCGAGGATTTTACGTCTCCGCGAGGTGGAGAGAAGGGGCCATAAAGGACCGACGTTGTAACGCCTTATTTAACGCAGGAAACATTTCCTCGCGAGAGCGAGAGAAGCGCCTCATTCCGATGAGGCGCGCTCGACGTACTGCCGGCGGGAGTTTCTCTTATCGGGTGGACGCAATGAAATGCGCTAATCTCGCTGATCGATGGCGGAAACGGCGCGATGTGCGATCGATACCAGATTAGAGAGTCCGCCGTGCGCAGTGATCTTGAGACACGAAAGTCCGCGACGCGGTGCAATCAATATACGAGGAGAATGGTCTCTGTATGTAAGAGAAAGGGTTCCGGGCAACGTTCGCGCGCAATGAGAATGCAAGCGCCGCGCGCGCTGATCTCAAACAGGCAATGACACAAATACTTAATGAACCACACATATGACTCCGTCTCGATGAGAGTTTAATGGGGGGAGAGTTTGATTATTGTATTGCAATTTCTTAAATTTCGATTTATCCAGAGTCACGAACGCGCTTTCATGCTAAAAGGTGAGCTAGAATCGTTGGGAACAGCCGACCGGGTGATCAATTCGAAGAACGCGATCAGCGAGCTGTTATACGCTTGCGGCCAAGCAGATCCCTTTCTCTTGTTGCAGAAAAGCAAAACGTCTCAACACGAGACGATCTCGCGTTGCACTCTTTGCCCTTCGGTCGTCGCTAAGACCGGTAGATTCCTCACGCGACCGTGAGCAACATTTCATCCGCAGGCACAGTGGCAACGACCGTTTAAGGAAGATCCACACCGGTAATAATCTCGAGAAAATTACCGCGCACCCGCTATCGTCGTACTCAAGAGATTTCGTCAGAACTCAAGAGTTTCTACAAGATTTCTCGTTCTACAAATCTTGTTTCGAAGTGACTTTACATAAATTATCTTGCACATTCACGTCCGCGAATGAAGAAAAAAAAAATATGTTTGACCAACCTTCGCGTTTCGTTATACGACGGAATTTTTAATCTTTCTCTTTATAGCATCACGAAATATTTTTCAAATTGAGAAAAATGCGCTCTCTTTCATTCTTTCTCACGTATTTTTTCATTTTATATACGAATATTTTTTCCTATCAATGCGTGCGATACTCGACGTTTTAGTACTCTCCGAAGACCCGCAATATAGTCGTAGCTACGCGCGAATCGGCATGATCGATGAAAAAAAAAAAATGCGCCTGAGAAACGGTGTTCGCGTCGGCAGTGGTATTTCCGAGGTTTCCTCAGGTACCCCCGCGTCCGAAGAAGCGAAAACCTGTTGTAACAAAAAGCATGATACCCGACCTCGGGCAACCCCCGCCGTTCACCTGGTCACACCGATAAATCAACCACCAACGTCGGGGAGAGAAGCGTCACAGGCTTAAAGGGAATAGCATAAACCGAAGGCAATGGCGCTTTCTAATCTCGGTCTTTATTACTCAGCGGAACTTCGCTCCTGAGAGAAGCAGTTATTATGCACGTATTATTTTGTTTTGCATTTTAGTTTACACGTGAATTTATCATTCACCGTGGAAAGGTGATGTATGTTATACGTTACTTTCTTCTAAATTTTCCAGTTACGATTATCCTGGCAAAATCAGTTTTTCCTATATAATAACGCTTATATTGCGTGTCGTTATCACGACGATTTCCTTCCGGAACGACCAGGATGACGATTAACTATCGTTGAAAGGTACAATTAACTATCATTAGTTGTGACATGTTAGAGATATTCCGAGATTTCAGCCTCGGTTAATATGTATAATTCATTGTGCGAGAAATGCGGTAGTTAGTGATCTGTTAGTGACAGCTGAGTTACCAAAGGTGGTGCAATAAATCTACCGGAAAGAATCGATTGTTTCGCATAATTGCTTTAACTAATTATTAATTTACATCTTTTTATGTAGTAGTAATTTATTAACTATTTCTTAATATTAAAAAAATTAATTAATAATATTAATTTTGTATTGCAAGCCTTTTTCTTTCAACAAGAAATGCATCTTATATATTGAACACATACATCAGCAGCGTTTCATGTAATCGTAATCGTATATCGTCAACGAAACATTATCGCGGTTGAATCAAACACACCCTGCTATTTCTACGATCATGCCACCTGATTTAGACCAGAATTTAGGTCTCCAGTAATGGAGGCTCTCTCTCTCTCTCTCTCTCTCTCTCTCTCTCTCTCTCTCTCTCTCGCTGGCAGTTATTGATTTTACTTTCGGAAAGAAATCTCGAAGGCTTCGAGAAACACTCCATCTTTCCGTATTTATTAATGCACGCAAAGTGTGTACAGACAGCAAAATATTCAACAACCTTTTATTGCTCAAGTCACGCGTTCTGCAACTCGATCAGTCAGTATATGTCAATAAAAGTGTAGTTTACCGACAATCTAAACCGAGATTGTCCATCAATGCCTTTATTTTGAAAAACTGGGAAAAGGATTTCCTCGATTTATGTTGTATTGAGAAGCAATAATGTATTAATTATAGATAAATTCTTGACGACTTAAAAAATCGCGACAGAAATAAATTATTACTTGTATCAGTTTCGGAAGAAAGACATTGACCGCGTGAAATATGTATACAACATATAGAACTCTCGTTAATCTAAAGAGAGTGCTTTAGATAGAATGTCAAGTCAGTGTTGTTGATTCTTATATACGTGATACCGTACGAAGCTCAAGTTTAAATGTGTATTCAGCGCGATTTAAGAATCTGTTTACTATCGCGCGCACTGTTTCGCATCGATCAAAATTCCTCACAAACAGCCAATTCATCGAGATGATACGTCCGCAAATAAATGTTTTCAGAAAGAAACGAGAAGCGATTGTGCTTCGTATCAAAATGTTCATTGAGACGAGAAAAAAGTCCTTTGGAAGTGAGAATAATAGCGCCTGCATAATTAAATACAATGGAGACGTCTGTTAC